GCTGGCCAAACCAGCCTTCTTCAGGTACAATGAGAATTTTACATTGGGACGTGTTTTTATGTAGCCGATATTTTCGTAATACCGGAAATACGTAAAACTCAGCCGAAATATAGTACACCTTCAAAAAGTCATCCTACGTTGTGTCGGTTTTTGCTCTTGTATTCTTCATTTTATATGTAAAGCCGATTAGATCACTATTGATCCAACGTATACCAGCAGGATCATCGTTCCGATTGCTTGCTTAAACATTTTCTTATAAATAAGAATGCCTGATCGCACGTCAGAAGTTAATAGGCCATATTCGTATCCTCGGTATTGAACTGGAACTAGCTTGGAAAGGAGGCACATACGTAGGAAAATATCATTAAAAAGAAGTCAATGTCATTTGCATTTGAAAAGACTTACGAATATGGCCTATTCATAGGTAAGTATCTATTAATCATTACTTTGCAATCCCAATGATTTCAGCTGATGTCTTAAACCCGGTCTAAAAGGAAGGTCCCGACAGGCGAGGTGATACAAATCCAATTTTCAGCTCAAATTTTGCCCTTACCTCATTTCCGATTTATTTTTTTTGCCTAAATCACAGTCCCATTCAAATTTTGTTTGTGATTCTCAGTCCGGGTCATCCCAATTCCATTTTACAAGTGAAAAAGTTAGGTAAATCCCAGTTCCCATTTTACCTTTAAGAACCTCAGCCACTGTATTTTGGGTTATTTTGACCACGTACAAAATTATCTTTAATGGAAGGAAACCTGAAAATAGTGGTTTTAAAGGTGCGCTTGTGTAGTTTACTAAGATAGAAAAAACACCAAAGAGATAATAATAAACCATAAAGAAGCAAGGATGGTTAAGAATGGAAAAGATTAATACTGATTACAAACGATGTACTTGACAAATTTAGGCTAAACTTTTCAAGATGTAGGAAACCGTAACGTAGTTCGGAGCCGTCTACCAGCTTTTGATTCTAATCGATGATTTCCTGACAAAATATCAAGCGGCAATATTGTTTAATTTGATTACTAATTCGAGATCATTCCCTCTTTGGTTTGGCATCACCCTTGCTACAGTACACACGGGAAATGCATCTACATATCAGCCTTATTAGAATGCAACCAAAGTAACTATAGCAACAAGGAAGGCTATGACGTCAAGTAGGTAGTACTGATACCAAGGAATGTTAAACACTTGAGCTCTGAGGTGCCGGGCTCCACCATGTCTGAGTACATTCTCTATCCAGTCACCAGTTTTCTCCAATGGGGTCCGTGGACTGTCTTTCATCAGCCGGGAAATGCGCATCGCGTCTGCCTTGAATCTGAAACAAACGTTCAGAAAACTGAGTAAACTTGCACACACAGTTCACACACTTTGTTGTAATTACCAGGCGAATCGAAGTTGCATGTCAGATGAGGAACAAAGAAAAAAAGAGTGAAAGAGTACGCAAGGTAGCGTGAGAAGCCGGAGGAGGGAGGGAATGAAGGGAGGAAGAGCGGGAAAGAGGAAGGCAGAGGAGGTGAGGGGGGGATGGAGGGAGCAAGGGAGCCCAGGGATAGTCTCCTTACCCTTTTGTACTTTAAATTGAAAAAGGTACTCCTTTAACATACTTTCATAACTGGCTCGTATTATGAATAAATCGCCAAAAAGGAAGTCTTCTTGTAATTTTCATGTAATGCCTAATAAATGAAATGATCCAGCCACGAGGTGCTTGTGTTCGAAATGTTTTAATTTAAGACCCTTTATTTGATGTAACTAAATGACAGATTTGTCTACCCTTTCATATACCTCAACATGTGAAACCCCTACTCTTTTAAATACCTTAAGCCTGAAAACGGTACTCCTCTCGGGCGGAGCCTCCCCGTATAGGCCATTATAGGAAATACCCCCCGGCAAGGAAGTAAGCCATCCCCTTGCCAGTCGCCTCTTTGCTAGCAACCTCACCTCGGTTCATCAACTACCCGCACAATTGTCCCAAACAGTTGTTCATCATCCATAGTTTCATAATCCACAACTATTCCCAGTCCAAATTGCTCCGCTTTCTTGGCATTGAGAAACTGGTCCGCAAATAAGGGAACAGCCACCACAGGGACACCATAGTACGCAGACTCGTAAAGACTGTTGTGTCCCACATGGGAGACAAAAGCTCTGATGTCCTTGTGAGCCAATAGATCATTCTGAGGTAACCATGACACTACTTTGATGCTTGGACTGAGAGATGGTGGAACATAATCTAAAAATGGTCAAATGTTTTGTAAGAGTAGTGCTATGTCATTGAATTAGTCATACTAAGTTACTTGAGGTAAATATGCAAATTACTGCTCTAAAATGCTCGCTTGCTCTACGATCATTCACCCAGTCAGGCCGTTAGTCGGTCGGTCGGTCCACCAGACAGCCAGGCAGTTTATCAGTAACTTAGCCAGTCAGTCGTCAAGTTGGCCACCTAGCTGATGTGTCATGTAGCAAGCCCGGCCAGTCAGCAGATCTGTCTGTCAGTCAGTAAGTCAGTGGGTCAACAGTCAGTCAGTCCCTCAGTCAGGCAGTCAGTCAGTCAGTCAGTCAGTCAGTCAGTCAGTCAACCAATTGACCAGTGGGTCCATCATTCATTGAGCCAGTCAGACAGACAGTCAGTTCGTCAGTTTTAAACAATCAATTAGTCAATAAATCAGCCAGTCGCTCAATCTCTCGCTAAAATTGTAACTTAATCACCTTTCAGTCTCCACAGAACTTTTTGCTTCAACTTTCCAAAGGCTGTAGCCAGCATGTTTATCTTTTCTTTAGGAATAACTGATTCCACATATGTTCCAAAGGAAGCCATTATGAAGCCGTACCCCCCTGAATCGCCTACAAATTCCTGAAAATCAGGAGGGAGCTTCTCAGACTCTTGAACTGTGATTGGTCCCACCATGATATGACCTATAATAAACAATTATTGGATGAGATTTTTGTGATATCCAGAATAATCAAGGTCGAGGTAGGAGTTGGCTGAGGCTGATAACACTTACCGGGACCATGATTATTCTGGATATCACAAAAACCGAATCTAGTAATTGTTTTATTATACATTGAACGAAAAAATAAATGGAAACCATGTGTTTGCTTTTTCACTGACCGCAACCAACACAAAGCGCTCGAGCTTGACATGATTACCCTTAGAAATCAGGCACCCCGGTCATACATGACATGATTACTTGTGACCTTGAGTGTCCTTGACATGATTATTGTATAATCTGCAGCTAGATGACGTCACAGACGCTGATTTCGAAAATTCACTGTACGCTTTCGGTCAATCAGAAAAGAGATAGTGAGTTCAATGTATAACAGTGTACATAAACAATAGTTAGAGATCTTAAAACGAATTCCCTACACACTGATTCTGATCGGTAGGAGCGACGCATTATGGTGAGACAGCACACCATGATACGCCTTCCACAAGATAACACCAATTATCAAAAACTAGATCGTTGGGTAACGTAATTCAAACGTTTTCATTGGCTTAGCCACCATGGTATATGAACCATTATACCTTGCTCTACAAATATGGTGAGCATACATGTAACTTTCGAGGCCTTATTTTGATTTTTTGTTAGTTCTCTATATTGTGGGAGCGTTTTTTAGTACTACAATTATTCTATTCACCCTTGTTGGATATGAGACAATTATAGCATCTCCAAAGCGTGCTCATGGAATAATTAAGTACGCAACATCGGTTTGCTTGAAAATTCCGATTGGTTGTCATTATATTTCATAATGTAAGTAACTTAAGACCAGTTGTTATAAGTAAAACCAGTTGGTTGAGGAGACCCAGTCCCCTCTACCAACTATGGTAAAACGTATCTATTTAATTTGTTCAACCAACCTGGTAGAAGAGGCTGTGGAAATCCAAGAGCAAAATCGGCTACGAAAATCACCAGCTCTGTATCACCAAGACCTTCCGCGAAACTTCTTTCAGGCTTGATATTGAACTTAGCTTTAAGTGCGTCAAATGAACGAGCAACAAAAAGATCGAGTAGAAATCTGGTAACAATGAACATTCCAAAGTTGACAACACGCTGAACGAATGTCATTTTACTTGGCAACCCTGTCTCACGCAACGGTACGTATGACACTGGCAAGGGTACCATATGATATGTTGAAATAGCTTGGTTTGGAGGTCCAATAACAACTGTTACACTTGGAATATCAAGGAACTGACTGACTAAGACATCACACGGCCCAGAGGAATCAAACACGATCAAATCAAAGCTCTTGAACTCCCACAAGATATCACTGCTGTTCAAAAGGCTTTCACACATGACAAGTTGAACTTGAAGCAGGTTCCATCCAATTTTGTACTTGTTCTCTTCAAGTGCAGGTCTTATCATTAGATCTTCAATGAAGCCAGGTTTGTAGGGAATTTCAAACGTCTTGTGTGGGATTCTCTCGTTGGGTGTTGGTGGCCTATCAGAGGAAACCACCATCACAACCTGTGAAAAACAAAAACGAAAAGTCGAAAATTGAGCTTCGTCGTTAGAATTGAATGCACATGGAATGCATGTTTGTCCAACACTTGAAAACTTCCAGTAATAATATTCTTTTGTCACATCGTGATGGGCTCCTGGTTATATATATATGTTATGAGCTAGCGCGAGGTCCGTATTGGAGAAATACTGGTCAATTTCTCCAAACATGAGGGAAAAAAAAAATTCAGTTTACAAGAAACTGTTCATTCGCCTAAATTAATTCATGAGCGGTCCACCATGGCGGTCCGTATAGTAAAATTCGGACCTCTAAGGGACCCAATCAGAATTCTTCTTTCATCGCGGATCATGTCAACCGTATAATAAAGGGCCATACGAACGAGGGAAAAGGGTCAACGCAATACAGAATGACCCAGTCACCTCGTTTGCATGTCAAACCTTGCTGTTGATTGCCGTTGACTGCAGATTGGAATGGAGGCCGCGCTTGACTGAGAGCAACTTACATATTTGCTGTGTATTTGACATCTGCTAAAGGAGCTCGAACAGTTTGCACATCTTAAAAAGTTTAGCTTAAACATTTCAAGTTTGTCGTTTGTAATCCGTGTTAATCTCCTCCATCCTTAACCATCCTCATTCCGTTATGGTTAACTATTATCTCTTTGGTGTTTTCGCGCTCAGTAAATTACCATTTTCAGGTTTCCTTCAATTTAAAGGTAATTTTGTACGTGGAAAAAATAACTCAAAATACCGTGACTGAACGGTGTTCTCTACATTCTCGTCCCCATAGCCCTTTTCGCTCCTCTTAGCCGGCGGGGCCTTGGCACGAGAATCGAAAGGCCCTTCGATGTGCTAAGGCCCCGCCGGCTCAGAGGAGCGAAAAGGGCTATGGGGACGAGAACGTCTTTTCTATTACATGTAAAGATGGTTTCTAATGAAATCATTCAAGCTGTTAAAGTGAAGGCGTCGAACGCACTCACGTCGAACGCACGGAATACAGGTAGCTTGCGTTTACCTGATGGCCTCGTGATGCCAACTCCTGCAAGGTGTTCCGGACGACGAAGTAATGAGATCCCGATGAAAAAGCACTGATGCCCTCGATTCTAGCAGACAAAGCAGACTTAACAGTGAAGAGCAAGACAAGGCAACTTAACGACGCCATTTTGTGACGACAATACAACAGATATGGCGGACCACTCGGTCGGCGCCCGGGACAAGTCGCATGAAAGCGAGGCTAGTCAGGCTTTGATGTTTTGCTTTGACAATGCTTCACCAAAATAGTCTTGCTTCGTCGTCGATCTGGTCTGTTTTATTTAGCTGTGGCTACGAGCTGCTGTGTTTCTGAACGCCACGAGAAGAGATATAATTTTTTCCACCGTTCGTTTGCCTCTTAAGCTTAGGGAAAATAGTGGATCAATCCAATTCGTTGAGACGAAGGAAAAGGAGTTCACGATCGCCGCAGGAACTAAAGTTTGTTCGCTACATTTCACATCAGAAGATCTTAGAAAAATCGTATAAATGACGAGCTTATGTGGTGTCTGGTGGTGTTTCAACACGATTTACATGGTCAGTACCTTCCCCAAAGTAAAGAAAAGCTCCTCTTGAAAAACATCCTCCGTCTCAAAGGAAGAAGTTGACTTCGCGTCCACTCGCACGGAATTGGACGAAACAAATACTACGGTGTAATAACCAAGCGAATGAACTTCAACTGCCCCCATCGTTGTATCCAGTGAATGGTTTGAGCCAAATGAGAACGAATTGGAGCTAAATGCGGTCGCTTACAGATTTTCTGAGATCCTCCAGCCTGAACAAACAAATTTTAACAGTTCCCTCGGCGATCGTGAACTACTTTCCTTCGTCTATTTTCCCTGAGAGGCGACCGCGGAAACGAAAAAAAAAAAAAACACTTTCTCTGCTGTGAAAGATTTCAATGCCTTCTGGTGGCATTCAGGAACACAACAATTTATAGGGAGGGCGAAACAAGAACAGACCAGATCGACGGCAAAGCAAGACTTTTCTGTCAAAACGAAACATCAAAGCCTGACTAGCCTCGCTTGCATGCGACTCGTCCCGGGCGACAACCGAGCGGTCCGCCATACTTGCATTCGGTGTATAATTATTCAAATACGACAAACTCTTGAACTTTGCTTAATTATGTACGTCTTATAGTCAGGGGTTCGTAACGCAACCGTGACTGAGGAATAAACCATCATTGTTTTGAGGTGGAGCGAGGAGGGTGGAGGCGGTGGGGGGATGTGGTGTGCGCATTTTTCTGGGGCATCATTTTTTCCCCCCACCTTTGGACTGTACATGATTGTTTTTTTGCTGGGCAATAGCTTGGGCAAGCATTTTTTTTTTTTGACATCAAAAATATGACCTGGATAGTAGAAAGTACGTGCTCGATTTTTTGTCCCCATGGCTCCCCTTGCACAATCTTTTTTAGCAGTTTTTGCTTTGCAGGAAAGTAGCTGCACAAAATTTATACAAACTACGCATAACGACAAATATAGAGAAAACAAATTATACTTTTCAGGCAGTAGATCTTTGGAAAGAGCTTCCAACCCATTTCTAAGAACTTAGCCTATTTGCTTTTTCAAAACCAGAAAAACATTATTTACTCTCAGACCAAAACCCGAATTACCGTGGTGCACTAAATTTTTGCGGGAGTTTATTTTTGCGAATCGGCGGATTTTTGTATTTTGCGGGAAATACTTTTTGTGATTGTAAAAAGGTTGTTTTTTCTTGCTGTGTACTAATTTTTGCAATTTTAGGAAAGTCGCGTTTTTCGCATTTTTCATTAAACTACGTGCAATTGGCTAATGAAACAACATGTAGAGATGCAAAACACAGAAATATCCAGTAATCCGTTTCACTCTATCACATTTACACCCTGCTCTTGAGTGGAATTATAGATGCTCTTGTCATTGGAGCACCTTCAGACGATCCTTTCCTGTAAACGTTTCTATTTCTGAACGTTTTGTTTCTCATTTCATCGTTTTGTCTCTGAACGAAAGAGACGTTTTAAATAAATAGCAGCAACAAGATTCTACTTGTGATATTTGTATGTAGAATTTCACCAGTGTAGTAAATTATTGCGGAGAAAAGTTTTGCAGGAATTTTTCTGGCGGATCGTGGAAAAAAACCGCAAAATCGCAAAAATTAGACCCCGCAAAAATTTAGTACCACAAGTTAAGTAATTTTTTTTTTTGTTCTCCCTCATTAAAACCGAACTGTAAACTGTAAACTTCCTTTATCTCTCCTGTCCTACAATTAGACATAATTAGGCTGGAGACTAACTCGAAAACCTAACGGTTTATTTAGCCTCCAGTCTAATTCAAACAAGATTGTAACAGTTACCTCGTCGAAAACATACTGAATGAATTGAATAAACTAAAAATGTTATAATATAAAGATGTTGTTGCTGTTAAGGAAGTCCGGTGGCTTAATGAGTGTTTCAGTCCATTACCAGCTGCTGTTCGAGGAAGAAGTCCAGGACCGCAGACCAGACTCGAGTGAGCCGCGGAAATCGAACCAGCCCCAGCCATTGTGCTGTGTTCTTGGGCAAAACACTCATTCTCGCTGGAGGTTCTCAATATGGGGTTAACAATCAACCGTCAAATGGCCAAAAAAGACCAAATGAAATAATAACCGTCAACGGTTAGAAACGCAATATTTTTACCGTCAATTCAACCGTCAAATGAGCAAGCCAATTCTAGATTGATTCTTTGATTGACTGGACAGTACAACAGTGTAACACACCGTGTTACACTGGGTTACAAAAGAGTTAATAATTAAATTTTATTGCACAACATATTAGAACCTGTTTTGAGCGGACACACTGTATTAAGCGGACACTAGTGAGGGTCCCAAAGGTGTCCGCTTAATACAGGTCTCACCAGGTGCAAAAAATTGGTCTGGCAGGAGTGAGTTCATTTCAAGTTTGACGAATTTGGCGTCATGACGGCATTTTCGTGAAAAGAAAAATGGCAGAGTATTTTTGCAGCTGATAACTGTTCTCTATTGATTTGAATCAAGCAAGTGACATCCTCGCTGTCTGTCGCAATTTTCTCAAAAAGTACCCCTCTACAGCTTTCGTGAGGGAAACTTACTTTCGCTGCCGCGAATATGGGGCGGTTTCTCCATCTTCATATTCATTCTGCACATAAAAGCCACCACTTTACTCCTGTAAAGCTATCTACAAGTTGTTACACATTTCTCAAAACATTGCTCGAAATTAGACAAAAAGTTGCACACATCTTGTAAAAAAAACAAAGAGGAAGTTGTTCTTTTTCGCGAAAGTTGCTCTTTTCTGTCATAGTAATTGGTCTAAATTAAAATTACCCGGACTAATACCCTTGAAAGTAAGATTTCTAAGCATTTTCTGTTGCCACTGCAGTAGTTAATAAAATAATTAATGATGGCATCAAGTTTACTGACGAGTTTGTAATACTTAAATGTTTTAAATATGTGGTTAGAAGTCGAAAGATCTCTGAATCTTCCTCGAAAATCTTCATTAAGCTTCAAAAACTTCCAAAAATCTTCAGAAAATGGTAGCACCAATAAAAGCTGCTTTGTTAAATTAAACAAAAATAATAAAAGCTGCTTTGATTCTTCAGAGTAGCGATGCTCGTCGGAAAAGTTGAATTAAATCTCTAAAAAGAGACCAATCTAAGACTGATTCGAGGTATAGCTATATTGACCCCCCAAAAATAGTTGATAACATTTTAAAACGGACACGACGACGACGTACATTTTCTACTAAAGTAGCGTTTCGTCCTGAACACACTAAGTGAGACCAGAATCGAGATCAAACGGTATGACATACAAACGAATGACTTCTACATTTTCTAAAAAAATATAATGAACTAAGAACAGTTCACTCCTTCTTAGGTTTGTTGTCGCTCCGTCGACAGCACACTCGACACATGCATCTACATGTCAATCTTATCACCATGACAACCAATGTCACCACAGCAACAAGAAAAGCTATGACGTCAAGTAGGTAGTACTGATACCAAGGAATGTTAAACACTTGAGCTCTGAGGTGCCGGGCTCCACCATGTCTGAGTACATACTCTATCCAGTCACCAGTTTTCTCCAGCGGGGTCCGTGGACTGTCTTTCATCAGCTGAGAAATGCGCATGGCCTCGGTTTTGAATCTAGAAATGAGGTTTAAATTGTTATAGCTGGAAAACTAACATTTTTGAAAATGATTTCACTGAGAGGTTTGAGGACACTCAAATGTTTTAAGAGCATCCTCGTGAGTTGCAGCTGTTAGCGGCGAAGTCTCCGAAAGCTGAGATAATCGATACGCTAGCTAACTAACAAATGACACAAAGCTATCAATACCTTGGTTCATTGACAACACTCTCTATTGCCTCTAAAAGTTGCTGGGCATTCACAGTTTGGTGATCCACAGCTATTCCAAGTCCAAAATGCTCTACTTTCTTAGCGTTAGAAGGCTGATCTCCAAATAAGGGATAAGCCACCACAGGGACACCATAGTACGCTGACTCATAGAGACTGTGGTGTCCCACATGGGAGACAAAAGCTTTGATGTCCTTGTGAGCCAATAGATCATTCTGAGGTAACCATGACACTGCTTTGACATTAGCATTGAGAAACGAAGGGATGTACCCTTTAAACATAAAAAGAGAACGAGATTTTCACAAGCATAGCAAACAACGTGGAAGTCACATCAGCTCCAACCATGGCCCGAAAGGCTGCCAAATGGAGCAATCATACTCATAGGAACCCATGAATTGCTTTTCTCATGGTCATCATATATAGCTAGCGCCGGGTAATGCTTCAGTGGGCGCATATACGCACAATGACGAGACGAAGTCGCACAACACGGCGGCTATAAATGAAGCCTTAGTTTACAGCGTAAATGTTCGATACTGGGCATCCATGTTCTGGTCATTAGCAGATTTGCACGTTGTAATGTCATTTGACTATAACTACCAGAATTCCTTTCGTTAATCTTTATTATTTAAATTTTAAATTTCCAGCGGGGTTCAATAGCAATTGCCTTAATTAGCATAAGAAACAAAAAAGTGAAGGATTCTCTTAGTTGCGATTAAATCACGCCATCATCGCATGCAAATCACCTATTGACACCTATCAAAACAAGGCATCCGCTGACTAGTATCACGTGACCATATGGTGGGCTCAAGGTTAGAGCTTATCGAGGTCATGTTTTTTTTGAAGTTGACCGCTGCCCAGGTACTGGCTTTTGATTGGATTGCAGGCTCAGGCCAGGTTACCTTATTATAATTCGGTGCTCTGCTTTTAGGCTTTGCTAAATCTATATATTATGCAAATGTATGGTACAAACAAATCACTGTTACCTTTGAGCTTCCATAAAACGTTCTGCCTCAACTTTCCAAAAGCTGAGGCCATGATGTCAATCTTTTCCTTAGGAACAACTGTTTGTACATAAGACCCAAAAGAAACAATAATGAATCCATTCCCTCCTGCACTGTTGATAAAATCAACTAAATCAGGGGGGAGTGGGTTGACTTTAGGTTGTACGGTAATGGGACCAACCATGATGTGACCTGCAAATCAAATACACTCATGTTAACATGACTATGGAGAGGTTTTGTGAAATTTCCTCTTAGAAAAAAGGTAGAGAAATGCATTTTGATTGTTTTTTGGTTTGTGGATCATGATTTCTACATTGGATCTTTGTTATTGGTCTCTAAAACTAATGTGATTCAAACTTTTAGGGCCTCAGATTACATGGAGAGTGCCCCGGCTATCCCAGACATGGTAATCTGCCTTTCTGGGGCACCCTACTGTCTAGTTTCAAACATGAAATGGCAGTTAATAATCTGGGATACAGTTATTACCCATACAATTCTTGAGCCAACCCCCCTCAATTCCAATCAGTGATATTTGTGCTAACCTGAGCAATATTTACCGGTAGGCAAACTGCAGTTATATTTTATTGTTTTGCCATTATGTGTTTTAAACACGCCTATCTTTTTGCCATGTAACTGCCGTAAAGACATTGAAAAGTTGCCGCTAGTGGAACAAGTGATAAAAAATAAAACTTTGTGTGTGCCAAAAGGTTTCTACCGTACACCATCGTCTTTGAAATTTGCTTAGCAGCCAGACAGAAGATGGCCCAGTGACTGACATATTTAGGTGAGTTGCATGTATGAAAGGCAGGCTATGTGTTAACCCTCCTAGCCAGGTAGCCCGGCCAGTTACACAGGGCAGTTGACTGTCCCTGCCTCCATGTAAACAGGGTCTTTGAAGGGGCTTTTGATAATAATTAATATACAAAATAAAAATTTGGGGACAGTAATTGGTGCCCAATTCTCAGTCACTGTACTGTTTTAAATTCAAGCCCTCATGGCTTGACCGTCTTCAAAAATTAATATTTTATATTTAAAAGAAATACATTATGTGGTTCCAGAAAATATCCAACACCTCCACCAAAGGTGGTTATTTGGTTTGTATGCTCCCCCTGTGCCCTGCGGAATTTCCAGTTTAACTTCATGCTTTCCCTTTAAAAATTCGACTTTTGAGACCCCACACCCCATTGGAATTTCCAATGACCATCCTTGATGTGGGCTGGTATGGATATTTTCTAGACCTGCACATTATGCAAACCTGGCAGAAGTGGCTGTGGATATTCCAGAGCAAAATCTGCTTCAATAATCAACAGTTCATAATTTGCAAGAGCCTCATGGTAGCTTATCTCAGGCGTGATGTTGTACTTCTCCTTGAGGTGGCCCATGGAAGTGGCAAACATAAAATGTGCCGCAAATTGAGAAAAAATGTACATTCCAAAGTTCATAAGACGCTGTATGAAGGACATTTTACTGGTAAAGCTAGTCATGTGTACAGGAACATATGACACAGGAAGGGGTATCTGGTAATATGAAGATGTTGCAACATTTGGTGAAATTGGAAATATTACAACATGAGGAATACCAAGAAGATCAGCGACTAACACGCTACATATGGCAGCTGCTTCATATACCACCAAGTCAAAATTCTGCAGAGATTGAAGTAGTTCTGTGTCATTTAACAAGTGTTCACAATCAACTCTTCGCAGTTCATTCAATTTGAGAATTGCCTTCAACATCCCCTCTTCAATTGCCATTCTTATTACAATTTTTTCAAGAAAAGCAGAATCAAATGGGACTTGGTACGTCTTATGAGGAATCTCTTCATCTGATCTTGATTCTTTCTCCATGGAGGGCTTTACAAGAACTACCTACACAATTTAAAACAAGAATTTGATCACAGAGGATTAAGTCATTATTTCCTATATAATGATATAAAGTATGTGACTTAACGGTTCAGTACAACCTGACTTCTGTTCCTAGGGGTGGGAATGGGGGGGGGGGGACACTCTACAAGTTCTACACGGGGGGGCTCTGTCCAAAACTGGTCCAAATCCTTATCCTTTTGTATACCACTTTGACAGAAAAGGTACCCCCTTCACATACTTGCATAACCTGGTCCATACTATGAATAAAACACCAAAAATGTAGGTCTTCTTGTCATTTTCATGTACCTAGTGCCTAGTGAATGAAATAATACAGCCATATTGGTGCATCTGTTCGAGTTATTTTAAGGCTTTTTGAAATAACTAAATGACAGATATCCATTAGCTACCTTTTCATATTCCTCAGCTTGTGAATTCCCTACCCTTTTATATACCTGAAGCCTCAAAAAGGTACCCCTCCTGGGCAGAGCCTCCCTATATAGGCCATTATAGGGATCACCTACTACGTAATTATTTATTTATTTATTTATTTATTTATTTACCACTTACTGTAAGAGAGTTGAGGATGTTTCATGCAGGGGTGAAAATTACAGATTATGATGTCACTTAGGTCTAACTTAAGGTGTTCAGAAAAAAATGCCTAGTGGGGACTCCCCCAGGAGGGCTACTCCCTATGGATGCTCCACCCCACCCATGAGGGGTACCTTAGTCAAGCTTCAGGTATATAGAAGGTTAGGGATTTCACAAGTCCAGGTATATGAAAGGGTAAGGATACTTATTATAAATTTATTTATAGGAGAAAATATTTGAGGGCAGCATGTTTACCATCATAAAGTCATTGCAGTAATTCAAACTATTTGACAAGCATTCCGACCCTTTCAGACGGAAGTTCCACCCTCCCCCCCCGGCCCATGTAAGAGGTTCACCATTCGAATCAACCCTCAAAGATAGATAAAATGAGAACTGTGAGCCCCCAACTCTGCTTAATAAACTTCACAAAACACACAGCCTCACAACCCTGACAACTTTTGCAACAAACGTATCCTGATTGGTTCATGATCAAGGTCAAGTATCTGTCGAACGTGTGTCAGTCAAGCTAAGGTTCAAATGTTTCAGCTACGTGCGAAAAATTGTGTCCGATTGCAGACCCGAGAGTAAGTGAGGCCGAAGTTTCCACCCGCGGGCTTCAGACTCGCGCGCGTACTGTTATAGCGAACCAAAGTGAAACGTCAAAAAGCTTCGTAATGGAAAGCGCTGCTTGCGTGATCGTAACTTCCTAAAGTGAAATGAAAGCCAGGAAGCTATATCGATCTGATGTGTTTAACAATGCTTTAATACAAACCTCATGTCCCCGTGACGATAATTCTTCCATTGCTTTCCTCACCACGAAATAGTGAGATCCCGAAGACTCTCCAGTAATACCTATAATTCTGGCCGCCAAAGCAGAGTTCACCGTCAAAAGTGAAACAACAACAAGTAGTATCGTCGCCATTTCTTTCTTTCTTTATGTAACTCCCTAGCGTGCGACAAACTAAAATATTTCGCGGTCATCGTCAGAGCGCACTCCTCCCCACCACCCCCTAGTGGGTACGGTGCCCGTATGGCCGTATCTTGGTCCGGGAAAATGGGCCAGAATTCCTCGAGACTGCATCTGATGTAAAATAATTATTCAAGGTCTTTAAACTATTAGCCTCCTGCGAAGACGTTCTTACTAGTATGAGTCGTCATAGACCGCGAGCAGTCTCTCTTTTGCTCAAACATCCGTGGGGAAGAACGCAAAACAAGTTGAACCTGCGAGCGCGGTATACAAGCGGCGCGCGCTTCGCATGTCACGCTCGCACGCTCTCGACTGCTCAATTGTGTTGAGTTCTTCTTTGCGTTCTTCCCCACGGATGTTCGAGCAAAGGTGAGACTGCTCGCAGTCTAGGATCGTCACGCACCCTTCCCTAACGAGGGTTGCGTGAGGAAAGATTGCGTGACAAATTGTAGATGTCGACCGAGTTCGCTCTATACTTAATAGGGACGGACCATTATTTTTTAGGTTGGGCAATTACCAAAAAAAATCCCTGTACAGCAAAACTGCTGGAAAAAATAATCATGCAGGGGCCTTCTATCCATGTCCAGTTTTCTGATGCTCAGTAAATTCTCGTGCAGGCTATTGCCCACCAAAGAAGATCATGCACAGCCTATGGGGGTGAAAAACATTTCATGCCTCAGAAAAATACCCAAGCCCCCTCTAAAAAAATAAAGTTCGTCCCTTAGTGTATTTTCATTCCCGCCTCCAGAGCCGAGAATGAGTATGTCTTGTTGTGCTCATCACATCTGAGCGAGGTTAATATGCTAGATTACCATGCAGGCGATTTTTCTTCCCTTTACTTCCTGTACAGTTCATTAGCTTACGACTTTTTCTGATGAAGAATATATTAATATTTCATTTAATTTTAATCAAATGTCTTTCATTGTCACCCAGTACATTTTGTTAAGATGGCAGAAGACCCTGACCATCAAAAAAGCATAAAAATAAATTAAATCATGTGATATGGAAAAAAGAAACAATCCCAATCGAATACACAAGGATTTATGTCACTGTACTCCTTTAAAATGAGTTAAAACAAGAAAAAAAGTGTTACAAAACGAAAATGTCATGAAGGCTAAAAGTAGTTACTTGACATTTCAACTTTAACTAGAACTCCTGAAATGGATGAAATTGACAATCCTGATATTTATCACTAATCTGGGATTTAAATTTGACAAAGGCTTTGTTAGCTGAAGCAAAGGAATGCCTTGATAACCTTTCCTGTAGTTACAATAGATATAGGCTCGATTTCCAGCCACTGTTTGGGAAATGAGCTCTTACTCCTTCCCCAAACTGAGGAACAAACACTGGACGCGAAAGAGCAGTGGAAATTAAGCCTACGATAGATAATCAGCGGGAGCACCATGCACAAAGCACAATAAAGACTTTGACAAAGCTTCAGTACAGTGAGCTTTTGTCCTTTAAAGAGGTATGGGTTGCATTGTTGTAATGAACACGAACAATGCTAAATAACAATTATGCATTGAATTCCATGCAAATAATTCTGCTAAGTAAATATTTGCAACCAATGTCATTTCCTCAGCTAGAATTCTTAATTCTAGCTTGGCAAGGATATAAGAATCCTTGCCAAGTTGTTAAAGCGGGCAGCCGTACCAGTGTTGTAAGCAGTGTGAACCACAATTAAGATGTTTAAAAAAAAACTTCAATAAGTATTGTTGAGCGTCTCGCTCAGTGTGGACACTCAATGCGTGATATAGCAATATATGTTGTGTATGCAGTAAGGAGGGGCAAACAAAAATACCTAGCATGGCTATCCCTGAGAAGAAAAAAACTGAATGTACAAAGAGATATATCTGTTAAATCAAGATTTATATACCACTTCATTTTATAATAAACTGCTAAGTATTGAAAGTGAAGAAATGGAGAACCGCAGAATTACCTTTAACAACATTGTATGAAATTATTTGAAGTTGAGGGTTCTAACTAAATACGTTTTTCAAACAAGGAGGCTTTAAGAATTGCTTTTTGCTTTGGGAAACATTATGCCATTATATAAAATTATGTTATTCACTAACATCATCTGAATTATTAAAATATTTTCATTTAAAAGAGTCGTCAAATTTTGAAAGGACAACTACACTCCATCATATGTTGGGAAATCATAGACTTCCATGATATCTTCCACTTTGTACGATGGGAAGAGTCCGTCTTGACCTGTCTTGTGGTTAAGACCCTTGGAGTGCCCATCCCAGTGGTTGCCGGCAATTCCTATACGATCTCCCACAGAGAGATCTATTTGTGAACCATCTTTGGCCTTATGTGGATAAATTGCTCGAACATCATGGCCTGATTGCCCGCCGTAGTAATAAATATCATCTAGGGACTGGAATTTTTTGGCTGCGTCAGGTTGTGATGATTGCATAAGTTCATAGGCCACACGGCATACCTGGTCATCAAGAACAGAAAGAAATGATGTTTCGCTAATTTGCCAGCAAATATTTGGAATTATACATTATTCTAAAACAAGTAACTAACTAACCACAATGCCCCTAGACTAAGAGTAGTCCTTCTTTTGCTTAGTCCATTGACCAAGACTGTAAATAAACCGTGAGGAAAATATGGCCGCGTGAAATCCTCCAGGAGTTTGCGTGGCCATTTTTCTTGCACGGTTTTCTTTCACTTTCGCTTTTGCTGTACAGATCTATGGAAAACATGGAATCCTTTTTTTTTTAATGTCCTAAAATTGATCCTAAGTAAGAACCCATCAGAATGTGAGTATAGTTTGACTTATTAAATAAAGGAGTAGTGACCATGGAAAATGTGGCTGATTTGCTAAATTCATTATTCATCACACAATGAGGGGTCAGTGGGTGTAGAGTGCCCTCTCCTTGCCATTCTTTGTATGCAACACAGACCTACCATAGCGTAAATTTGCAATCTTTGATGCTTTTCTTACTTGTTAAACAATGGAATGCATGAAAAGCCAAACAAGTGAGGTGTGACAAAACAACAAGGTTGCTAGGGAACAAGTAAAACGTCTTGAGTTGAGAACCTTGAAAAATTTCACATTCTAAAGGAATTTTCAGATTGGACAAAATATAAAGCTGACAGAGACAAAGTGGATAAGGAACCACTAGTAATGTTTCTTTGGTAAAGGAGGTCTCCCCTCTAGGCGTGTGTCCCATTCAAGAAGTGCTGTTACCATGACAACAACAATGCTTTACCTGTGACGAAAAGGTGCAAACCAAGTAATCACATTCAGACAACATCTGAATATCAAACAAAACTCCATGAAGTGATGAGTCTGAGTAACGAGAACCTAGCCCTGCTGATTTGGAAATTTCTTGATCACTAACAAATTCATAGTGTTTGTACCTGGAAAGGAATCAAAACAGCAAGTCCCTTAGAAAATTGTTCATATAAAAAAGTAAACTAGAAAGGTATACATAGTTCTTGCATAACATGATTCTTGTTAAAAAATAATACAGATAATTTCCAATAAAAGTAGAGTTCAATGGAATCTTTTGTCAACAACTACCTGATTGAACCCTGTTAACACAGTCACCAAAGGGTCATGAAAATTTGGCCTATTTAATGGGGTGACCATATTAACAGATACAGGGCTGTCATTGCGTTTCAAGTTGCCTGTACCCTTGCTCTCCACACTGAGGGGTTTCACTAAGTTGATGTTTTCAGCAAAAGGGTAACTGGTTTTTGCAGGCAGGCACAACTATTTGATCTGAACTTTTTCATAAAACTTTCCACTAGATGGTCAAAACAGTTGGACAAACTTGTCCTCACAAATGTTCAATTTGCCCGGCGCCAGGCCCCGAATGAAACCCCTGCACACCCATAGAAAACTTGCTACTTTGTGGGTGAATTCTTTCAACAACAGGCAATTTCACCTGTAGTAGATCAGGGAAAATCAAGCATGCTCAGCCATAACAGGTGTTATGGGTTATGTACAGCCCTTAATGACAGCCCTGATATATTTCACAACTGCATGTCACTGATCTGATAAAAGCATCCAGAATGCAGATATAACTTTGAAAAAATCAAAATTCAGTCAGTACATACAATATTAACAATGGAAATATGAACATAACTGTTTTGAGTGATGGGGTTAAATTATAAAGGATTATCCACGTGGGAATTTCAGAATGAGGCCACTGACCGTATCAACAGGGTGGCCGCATTGTATGGGCATTTCGCAAGGACAAAAAACTAGCCGTAATAATGATGTGACTGTATTAACCAGTTGATGTGACTGTATTAACCAGTTAAAAAGAAGTTGACTACTCTTAGCTTGGGAATTTATTATGCATTGCGGTGAAACTACTGCATGGTAAAAGGTACTTAATAAATAAATGTAAATAATGAAAATCAATGGCATTGCAGAATGGACACAAACAACCTAAGTTGAAGTGTTGAGTTGAATACTTTGTTAGTAGTACAATGCCTGATTGTCTAACAAGACTGAAGAAGAACAAAAAATCATGTCTTAATACACACGTGATGCATTTAAAAGATCTTAGAAACATAATATTATTAAAACTGGCAAATCATGGTAGTTTGATGTATATGATGTTAAATTTGATTTATATTTTGCTCTTTGAGCCTCTTCAGTTGTCTGCCATATTAAAATAATTACTGTCTAAGCACTAAAATTGGAATGGTTTGTTTCCATCTGCACAGTGAATAGTTTCCACTGTCTGTTGCCCTGGTTACTGTAGTTGTACTGTTAAGAATTTCTTGACAACTATTATGCAATGACAAGTGTAAGTTTACACACAATCAATAAGTACAAGGTTCATTTTCAAATGTATCAAGCCTTTAGTTTTCTTTTTTTTTTAAAAAAAAAAAGCAGTCCTCAATGGAAACTACAACTTTGTCATCCTTGCATGGCTGTTCTTCTCTTTTAGAAATGTTTTCTTGGAATGCCTTGTTACCATTTGTATTGTGAATGGTTTCCATTGTATAAACGTTTGAAGTTGTCCTTCTCTAGCATTTCGGAATAGATGAATGTATTGAATCAATTGACGCCTTGAGCTACTGTACTGTATTTTAATTCCAAGCTATTGCTGTTCTACAGCATCATTCGCGTCACCTACACCACTTTTATATCATGCGCTATGGAATATTTTCTAACATTCCATGATGCTGCTGTAGAATGACAAAAGCTTGGAATTAAAATACAGTACAGTAGCTCAAGGCCTCAACTGAAGCAATATATTTATCTTTCCACTGTACGTTGCCCTGTTCACTGTAGTTGTGCTGTAAGAATTTCTGAGTCGACATCTACTATTATTCAAGCACACGCATAAACAATCATCAACTACAGTAGAATCTTGATTCCTTGATCCCGCGATTCTCCTAACCTCCCAGTAACTCAAACCATAACTCAAGATCTCATGTAAATTCCGTCAAGCAAATAAAAAATAACTGTCATATACTTAAGAAAGTTAAAACTTAACGCTTTTTTACCCATTCTTTTTGCAATTAATATTTAGAAATATCAATCTTCTAAACTTGAAAAGCAAACAAACAGTTACATATTTTTCACTGACAGTTTTCAGCAAAATTCACTTACCATATCTTAAGATTTTAAATACGAGAATAAAGTTCTGAATTTAATAGCTGATTATGGAGATCCTGGATTTTCGTCGATTAGGAGGGCTTCAGGGTTGGGTTTCATATAGGTTCTTAACTTCTTCTCCTTTCTTTCTTTTGATTTTGTTAATTGATGGTGAAAAATAAATAACATCTTATCAAAAGACCAGCTTGACTGATGATAAATATTACAGGGCTCAAAAAAGTGCCGTCTGGTCATCCGGGACAAGTAGATTTTCCTTCTGGGCAAGTAACTTTTCCCTCTCACTTGCCCAATGGGCAAGGGATCAGGCAAGTTGTCTGCCAGATATATCATTAAAAGAGCAAGCTAAGACTTGCCCAAGGCAAGCAAAATTCTAGAGCTACTTGTTCCAAGGTCAAGCCAGAAATCAAGTGTTATTTGAGTCCCGCAATAAAATACATGTGAGAATTAATGACAAAAGCGTACAAATGTAACTACACTGCAGGGGTTTCAATAATTTTTGACACAGGAGGGTAGTTTAGAAAAACAGGCGGGTAGTTTCTTGAAAGGCCCGGAAGGCCTTCCCAACTAGGGGGTCTGGGGACATGCTCCCCCGGGAGATTTTGAAATTCAAGACTCTCCCAGATGCATTTTCCTGTGTTTGGAGGCATATTTTTACGTTGCTTTGTTGTTCCTAGAAGTCAATCAAATTAGAAAGACAAGGTTGATAACAAGTGGTATTTTAATTCTTTGTATTCAAATCGATTCAGGAACCATACATCATATTTCACCCCAAAAAGAAGCATAATATTAAAGTTTAAACACTGAATCGAAATGTGTCCCTTTCAATACACTCAACTAACCTTGCGAAGAATCATTCTTCAACCTCTTTTGTTTTGAGGCTGGAGCAAAATATGCTAATAACGATTGCCTTTTGGCAGCCATTATTATTCATGCTTACTCCCAGTTTCCTCTTGATTTCAGCTGAAGTGCCTGGCACATTTTTTTCACTTTGTATTGATGCGATTGTTCTCGCATGTTAGGTCACATTTTCCTTCATTGTTCGTGGTCCAAAAGGCTGGGTTAACACTAGAAAGTACCTTTCTGTTTCTTTACCTATAACATAAGACTTATTTTGCCAAATTTCTTGAAGAGAATCCTTAGCTGCGAGGAAATTATCTGGTCTTAGTTATTTGTGTACAGCTACCTGGGACAGCTACAAGCAGGTAGTCCGCTCATTACAAACGTGTAGATCTACCCGCTACCCGGCTATTATTGAAACCCCCGACTACAGTATGAGAGAGTATAGACTGAACTTACTTTTCCTTTGCCTCAGGTAATAAATTTGGATCATCTGTTGCAAGGTAAACCCTCCTCTGTTCCACTGCTTGCACTCTCTCTAATTTATTGTAATACAAGTCCACCCAATACATGTATTCCTCAATGGAGTGGAAGGCAGCCTCTGTGTTTATTTTATCTGTTCTTCTCACTTGAACCCTATGATTGTGACAGAAAATGAATCAAATGAGAACCCTTACTTTCTAAATTAGATCCAGAGATGCCAACAGTGCACTGTGAAACAACTTAGAATATTTAATTCAAATGTGGCTTACTCTCTTAATACTTTTTATCATTATTTTAAATTAGAAAATAGCTCCTGAAAGTATGTGTGCTGATTGGTCTAAAATTGTGTTTCTATTAAACAATTACATTATGAGTTTGAGGCTTTTATCGCGTGATAGTTGACGAGGGCGCAGCCCGAGTCCACTATCACGCATAGAAATCGAGAGCGAATAATCTAATAATTAGATATAAATCTACTAGGCGTTCAAAAGTTTACCTAAATCCTCTTCACAGACACTTTGAAAATGCCAAGAAACGGGCGTCATTTTGTTAACAAGGGCACACTGCTATGCTACTCACTATCTATCACAGAATAGACAGTGAGTAGCGTAGCCAATCAGAGAACAGCATGCATGATAGAACGCTGGTAGATTCATACAAAAACTTGATAGAAACACAGAACTAGCATGAGCTGTTGACATAACGATGGCATGAGCAAAACGAAACATTAGTGGAAGCTTGGGAGAACTCGAAAAAGCGACTGAAACATTTGCCTGTTGTCTCATGTTCCAACAGCATTTCTTGTTCTCCCGAACTTCCACTTGTGCTTCTATAACTCGCTTGAAACACGGAACATGTTTTCTATTTCTTAAACGTTCAATCTGTTTTGTTGCATGGCCAAATAAATGCCATCTGTGGCCTTGTGCTTCGACATGGACTGAATAGGATTGGTAATAGGTGTGACAGCGTAAAGATTACTCAGTGTTTGAGTCCAGATTCAGAGAATTGTCCACCATCAAGCCTGACGTGGGCACTTCATTGTAACACTACTGCTAACATCTCTCCACCTAGAGATATATATCCAAGATATTGCACAGTGGAGCTTAGATATAAATTTTATTTGAGAGTGGTACAACAATATTTTACAAATGAGCACAGCGAGTAAAATAATGTTTTTTAACACAATCTTGAAAATAAAATTTGTATTTTCAAGCCTGCCACCACGGGGAGTATTAAACCTGAAGGGAGCACTATCTCATTCAAGGGGTCAAGCAATATTACTGGTCACTAGCACTATTGATCTGCCTAGGAACACTTGCAAATTGATACTTAGCACTATCAATCAGAACCTACATGTAACAATGGCACTTGGTGCAACAACACTAGTGACTGGTGTTTAGCTTTAATGATTGACCATTTCAGGATGACAATTGAAGCAAGTTTTTCACTCACAATTTGTTGCTAGCACTAAGAATTGAGGTTGAACTCTAGTGATTTGTATTTTTTTTTTTACAAAAATGGCTCTCCATACTATCAATCAGTGTGTTATAGCAGCGTCTGGTGCAACAACACAAGTGATCAGTGTTTTAAAAACACTTTACAATTATTAACTCTAACCATGTCAGGAGGGCAACTAAAGAATGGTCTCCTCTTATCAATGATTTCTTGCTAATATTAATGACTGGATTGAACTCCAGCTATTATATTTTTGGTAAAAATGGTTCTCTATAGACAAAAGTCCTGAGAGCTTTCAGCCCTGAAGTCACTTCAGCATAGTGATGTGATCAGCCTGTTACATTGCAGTTTTCATAAATATTGAATTTATGGCCACCTAAGTTACAAGATGTTTAAGGTTGCTTCATCTTTTGTGTATGACTAACTACATGCTTTCAATAACACATTTAGTTCCTAACAAAACCTTTTTTTCCAAAGAGTTGTATCCACCATTCTTGAGTTACTGTGGCAACACTATTCACCCAGTCTCACTCAATGTAGCCATAATGTAAATGGCATCCTTTGAGTTTCAAGATTTGCATATTGACTGTGGTTAGCTTTTTTGTCAAGAATATCAATTATTCATACACGTGTCTAAATCAAAACAGAAATAATCTTCACTCGACATAAATATAATTTGTATGTTTGAGAGTGAATCGACATAGCAATATTTAATATATTTACTAAATTGAAATTTTCAAGTACAAAGATGGAAACATCATGGCATGAAAATGAATACTGAAATAATTTTGATAAAGTTTGAAACTGATACCCTCATTAATATTAATATTTGAACAAAAGTGAGAAACCCAAGGGATGCAATCAACACTTAATTCAAAGAATTGCTGCTTTTCGTGCTGGAGGTGGATTTATCTCATCTAAGTACAAAACATAAAGCTTTGAAAAATGAAACACTATAAGTTGAAACAAAACTTATCACCTAATATTAACTCTCTTAAAAGGGGCAAATATTAAATCTTGATAACTTACATGTCTTGTGTGAAAAAGGCTCTTAATTATCTCAGTTACTGGGCAGTTAAGAACCATTTTTGCACAAGACTTTTAAGTTATCAAAATTTTATAAACAATATTTTGTTCATCTCAGATGAATTAAGCTTCGGTGATTTAATCTCTTGGGTGAAAAAGTCCATGGATTTTGAATGAGTGATATATATATACTGAAAATAAATTAGATGTAAAGGTCCATTAATATATTCAACTAAAATATAATACTCTACTTTAAATTTCACGTATTATGTTTGATGCTTTGCAACCCTGGAGACACTATTATCAAAATACCAAAGGGGAAAAAATATAAGGATACCTTTTTAAAGCTTTTAAATGAAAATAAAATAACATAAAAAAGATTATTTTTAGCTCATAATTTATTAATGTTTAGCTAACAGCTGACCTAACAACATGTGTTTATTTCTAGCCGCTAAAAAACACAGACGTGAGGAAATACATATTAATATTCGAAATCAAAACTAAAATGATTTTCTTACCCAACAATGGGCTTCTTGAAACCAAGAAGGGTTCTTTTCTTGTCGATCTCCTCTTGTACCGGCGGTGCGTAACGAAATAAATACTTCGCAAACTGACCAATCCACCAGACAAATGGATGGCTATGAATTCGTTGAATTCTACCAGCTAAATCTTTTGGTACCGCTAAAGGCATGTAAGGCGGTCGTGGGTACAGGCTATCGACAATGGGCATAAGAATATTATTTTCTCTCGTCGAAGCGGCTCCACTCCAGCTCGCTAGATGGCCTTGATATGTTGTACAGGTTTCACTGACCGGTTTAAAAATCCCGTTCCATCCTTTAGCTGAATATCGCCATCCGACAGAGTCGATTATAAGCGTTCTTTCAAGACCATAAGCGACTATAAAACAATACATTAAATGGTGTACTTGGCATCCGTACCCACAACCTTTGTTGATCTGGCACATAAGTTTCTTTGCCGAATTACAATCTCTAGGATGTTGCAAGTAATGCAGCCGTCTTTGAACAAGATCGGTTAGTTCTTTATGCTCTTTTTCGACCCATTCTTTCTGACCATCCATCGTCTTCAACTTTTCGAAGTTCAGTGATAAAGTATGGTGCATATCTGCAACAGTTTGCACCATTTCACGAAGCTTTCTATTTACATTTTCGGAAGCAATTTTGTTCACTTTGCTGACTTCCGCACTTACAAAATACCATATTTCTTTCAATTCTTTCTCTGCTCTGCGTCTCGTAGTTAAGAATTCCTCGCTTGGCGGGGTGAAACCATGAGAGTTGGTCACAGAATTGATCGCCACTTCGGAGTCGCGTTTTTCCTTTATCACCGGTTGCTGATTTTCAGAAGCTTCCGCGGCGAGTTTTCGCTCAAGATCTAAATTCTTCTTTCTAAGCTGTCCCACTTCAATTTCTAACTTGTTCTTTTCAGCTTGAAGCTCCGCTAACTTCTTTTTGAGCCCCTCATTTTGATTCTGTAGTAGTTCCACATGTCTTTCTTTCTGCATAACCGCAGCTACATTTCGATTCGAATCCTCGGCCACTGACAGAAGCTGCCAGCCCATATAGCCCAGAATTAGCAGCCATATTGACACTAGAGCGAAGATATACTTCCAAGTTGTTCTTGTCATTTATAAAAGCCGAGGATAAGCCCTGAATCCTAACAAACTCTGGTTGTATTAAACAGACATTACCACAGCCAAGAGTTAATTCACGAAGTAAATTATTTAACTATTAGGAGCCAACTCAAGCTTAGAATAACCATAATATTTTGTAAAGAGTCCGAAAATACCCAGAAGCGTGTTCGTCACTTATCAGCGTATTTTAAGGGAGCAAAATGAATCTTCTTTCATGAAGAATCAGTTCTCTTTGGTCGCGACCAGACACCGGACGAAATCTTGAATTTCTTTCCCAGGCGTTACGTACAGGAAAGTGATCGCAAAGAAGTCTGGGTTTCTTTGCAGATCCTACCGAAATCTTTATTCGGAAGAAAACGATTGGTCCCGACTATTTCCGACTGATGCCGAATGCATGGTACCGTATCGCTTGCTACTAGTGAGGAAGATTTGATTTTCAAACTATTTTCGATTGAAAATTGATAAAGGGGCCTCTCATGCAGGTTACTGTTTCTAAATATTTTCGTCCAAGGCGCTGCTCGGCCACAGCAGTACGGCAGGATTTCAAATTTCCAATAAATCAAATTTCAAATTTTCCATCAGTAAACCACTCTTCGTCAGAACCAAACAAAACCAGATTGAACCCAGGTTTATAAAAGTATAGTATTGTTAAAAAATTTGAATTTTACTTCCCCCTTGGAGACAATAAGCTTGACCCGAGCTTTGTATCTTATTGACCCTTATCATTAGTATTCTAAAACGGACAGACATTGATAAGAGTGCAACCTAAAAGATGTCTTGATAAGTAAAAACAGCAAAAAGTTGGCGTTTGCCTCTGAACACAGCAACTTGATATCAGATTCCGCGCCTCATATACATCCCTTTCCGGGCCCCATTTCTCATGGGAGGCTCCACCTCAGTCTGTCTAATGACCTGTCGCGTCCAGCCCGCTTGCCTCTGATCATGACCCCAGATGCTGCTGAAAAGCTTTTTTTTTTCAGCCCTTTTGACGCACTGTTAGTCTTGGATCACCTAGTATCAAGAAATCGTTGGGTTGACCTTTCTCGTTTTTGCATATTAATAGATCAGTGCAAAAACAAGAATGAAGCGTATCATGAAACAGGGGATAGAGTGCAAAAGTACACCTTTCCACCAAGGTGGTAAAGGCGGGGGGAGGGGGGTGTTCTGCATCACGTTTCACGGAAGAATAAAAGGTCCTTTCACCAATTACGTAAATACCCGTTCCCACCATTTTCCATGATAGGATCTCCTGCCAAAAGCTTGATTTTTAGTAAACCCTTTGAATAAATAGGAGGAGATAGATTAAAAAAAAGATTATAAAAGTACCTCTCTGCCCATTTGAAAACAATAGATCCAGATCAATATTACTGACTTTGAGAAACTACGATTCCGTTAGCGCGTTTATTTTGCCAAAATCGCGACTTGGGACAACTTGCTCAAACTCTTTCGCTCGACTGTCATTCATCGGCTGTCGTCACTTCTAATCACATCTGCTTCGTGATTGGCTGTCGTTACCAACTCAAAGCGGCGTCATTTTCTGACACGTGCTCTAATCACGAGGGACGGCTTCATGGCGAAAGGCAACGGGGACAGCATGAGCGACGAAGAGAAAGAAATCGACATCGAAAGCGACGAGGTAAATTTATTGTTTCGTTGTGATGGTTAAGAAGTCACAAAAAACAACGTTTTTCTTCGAATTTGTTTGATTTTGTTTAGGAGGGAGCAGAAAATGGCGAAGAAACACAATTCATGACCCAGGTATGGCCCTATGTTTTGGTGTCAAATTGCGCGTGCAATTTTCCACATGGCCTTCGTTTCAAAACCACGTGTTTGTGTTTTGGACCTCTCCGTTTTCCTCAGATCTGATTTTTTGGATAATCGCTAGGCTTAGAAATCAGATCGACGTTTTTTGTAGTTCAAGTATCCTTTCAGTGTTCGAGAATCGGAAGGTTTTTTCGCCGACTCTTGCGTCACGCTATCGTTGGTAGCCCATGTTGTTGGTTCACTCTGGCCTGAATATTTTATGAGAAATGCATGTCCTAATCTGTCTGTTTGAAGAAGTGGGTTTTGCCTGCACGTTTATTTCACATTGTGACCAAATTGTGTTGTTCTTTATTTTTAGGCTGATAAAAGGGCACATCACAACGCATTAGAAAGGAAAAGACGAGATCACATCAAAGACAGCTTCGCACATCTCCGAGATTCTATTCCGTCGCTACAAGGAGAAAAGGCAAGATTGCGAAATTTCGTCTTTACATTTATCTCCTGTATTTGTTTTCTTTTTAGAATGTTCTACAAGAAGCTGGTGTTTAGCTGAGGAAAATGCTGAGTTTTGCTATATTCGTTCGTAAATCCTTCGCCTTTACATGCCTGTCCGGACGTCCTAATGGCATAACGTTTATCAATTCCAGTCCGCCTCAAATTTGTTCACTTTGGTTACCAAAAGCTTCCCACATTTATACCGGCAATTGATAGGATTAATCAAGATAAAAATATTTCACCGTGTGTGTTCAAAACTAAAATGAATTTTTTTTGCGTGTTTATCAGTTAACATATTATTGGTTAAATTTCACTTAGAATTTATGCAAATGCAAGCACTTATTTTATCTACTGTGGTGGACCTGCCCAGACAGACTGCAGGGTTCCACTTGTCTGAGCATGACTGGGAGATAACAGTGTTATTGACTGGGAAATAACAGTGTTTTTAACTGGGAGATAACAGTTTAGTGTCTGTGGGATGAAGGATGAAGTAGTACATGTACTTTAATTTAATTGAAATTTCTCCTTGTCAAACATGATTGCAAGTGAGTAAAGTAAATTCAAAATTTGTTTCTTTGTTTATACCTTTTAGTATTAATAATAGTTTTGACATCTTTTAATTTACTGCAGTTAAAAAGCAGTCAATTCAAAGCCCTGAGACTGTGAATGTCATATCATTGAATTCATTAGACCAATTAATTACGCACTCTCAAGCTACACTTAAAGTTTTGCACATTGCATGGGAACTGTTGAAGTTTTGTCTATTTATGGCTGAATTTACAAGGAAATATCCAATTGAACAGTATTGAATTACGTTGCTAGCCTGAGAGAAAAAAAGCAAGGTGAAAAGGCAGATGCTGTCCTTTGCTTGCCCAATGCGCAAATCAATTTTTGGGAGGAAAGGTTTGGAGGAAATTCAAATTACAGAGGTACTGCTAGAAAATAAATTACTTTATTATGATATACAATTAACTAGTTGTGTTAGTAATACATTTTAGGGGAGATAAATCACGAGAATGACATTCTAGTTAGTACATTGTAGTTACAGTCCCTCAAAGGGCACGCTAAAAAAAGATTTTTCTTTGTACTCTGTAGAGTGATATGTCATTGGTGTGAAATGTTTTGGGTGTAATCTCAGACGATTGCTTGTGATGTTGCCATGCCAATCTCATAGCAGATGTTAGCTGTGCTTTATGTCTAGTAATCAAAATATCTCTTGCAGGCGTCAAGAGCTCAAATCCTCAACAAGGCAACAGATTACATACAGTTTATGAGAAGAAAGAATCATTCACACCAAGTATGTACATGTAGAGTAACCTGCTGCCCTCTTGTTGTGAATTTAAGAAATAGAAAACATGTACCATGTCTCTATCAAGTTTTAGTATAAATCTACTAGCATACTATCGTGAATGCTGTTCTCTGATTGGTTATGCTACTCACTATCTATTCTGTGATAGCAAGTAGTGTAGCAGACTGTGCCCTTGTTGACAAAATGACAGTTGCCTCTTGATGTTTTCGAAGAGTCTGTAAAGGGGACTTAGATAAAGTTTTGAATGACTATACTAAAGCAAAATTAGATTATTCGCTCTTGATTTCTATGCATGATAGTCGACTCAGGCTGCACCCTTGCCAACTATCACGCGATAGAAATCTCAAGCTCATAATCTAATTGTTTAATACAAACCCAAGTTTTGGAGAATGAGATCTGCCGTGGAAACACAAGCTGACAGGTGAGTGTTTCCACAGCTTTTATGAGTTCTCCCAAACTTTCACGAGTGTTTCTATTAAACAATTAGATTACGAGCTTGAGATTACTACCATGCGTAGAAATCGAGAGCGAATAATCTGATTGTTTTAGTGTAAATCTACTAGTGGTTCAAAAATTTATCTAAATCCTCTTCACAGACACTTCAAAAATGCCAAGAAGCAGCCGTCATTTTGTGAACAAGGGCACACTGCTACGCTACTAACTACCTATTACAGAATAGATAGTGAGTAGTGGAGTCAATCAGAGAATGGCATTCATGATACAACACTAGTAGATTTATACTAAAACTTGTTAGAAACACAGAGAACACGTTTTCTATTTCCTTTAGAAAATACCGAGACAAAAAAAGAAGGCAAGTAGGTGAGTGGGGGCTAGAAATACTCCTGTAGCCACTTCATAATAAGGGATCAAAGATAAGTCAGGCCTGAAGGGCCACTAAGCTTACATGTAAATGTAAATGCAGAGTTTTCCTGTTAAAGTAGCTATGAGCAAACAGTGCATTTGTACAGAGGATCAAAGGTGAGGCTTGGAATAGTCATGCCATACATTTATTTTGTACATTTTTATAGGAAATTATTGATGACATTGTGTATTATTTTCAGACTGATATTGATGACCTCAAAAGACAAAATGGAATACTTGACCAACAAGGTATGGCTCTTGTTTTTGGAAAAGTTATATGTACCTGATGGTCAGAAACATTTTATATGATGTTAAGGTATGTCTTTCCACTCTTTGTCCACCTGCAACTTACCCTTCATCTTGGTCAGTTTTACCACCGACGTATAATTTTAGATTTTGTGAAAACCTGATTGCCATTTATAGTAGTAGTATGATCAGAGGAAAGAATTACTGTGTTGAGATACTCTCAAAATTTAGCACCAGCTACATGGAGGTATTTATTTCATATTAAATAAGATTAAAAGCTGAATTTTTGGGTAAATATTTTTCCAGGGCTGTCATTAAGTTTTGATTCATCTGTTGTTACTTTGTTACTTTATGGGTGAATTGTATCAACTACAGCCCAGCTAAGTTTCACCCGTAAGATCAAGGGCACATCGAGCATGCTCAGCCATAACAGGTGGTACGGGTTACGGCCTTTATTGACAGCCCTGTCTCTTTTTTTTACTACAGTTCGTGCACTGGAGAAAGCGCGAAATTCAGGACAGCTTAGCATTGACGCAACAGCAGCTCTTCTGACAAGTACCGACAATCTGCTTAGCTCATCACCTTCTGGAGATGGCCTTCTGGAAAGCCAGCTAAAGCAGGACCCCAGTTCACCTTTATCAATTAAAGTCGAGAACAATAATGCTGAGCTAACATCGGATGACGAGTATAGCAACAGAGCGAAGAGGAGAAAACGTGACATTTAGCATCTAGAACATGTGTTTTTAGCAGAAGGGTTTTTTAAATCTGGTTGAAGTAGTTACACAATGACTATCTAGGGCACAATAGGGTTTTTCTTTCTTTTTTGTTTACAGTAAACAGCCTGGACATCAAAGACATGAACTTTGAGGAATTTTGCAAATTGCCTTGAGTGGAGCATCAGATCTGTAATCTAGCTTGGCAGTAAGGGTAATGGACATGCATTGATGCAGCAATTCACATGTTGTTCAGAATTCAGTGGTAGCTTAATTACTTACTGTCCTGTATGCCTGTCAGCACTGAGGGCAGCAACAAAGGTGGCATGTTTTCAGAACCCATCTTGCTGACCTGGCAATTGATTTTGTTTGGTGATAGTCCCCCCAAAAGTCTCAGACCCATTGTCCATCAAATTGAATGCCAAGCTGTTCATTTTAGCATCAGTTAAGAGTTTCCTTCAAACTAGACGTGCTCGTGTTCATGCACTATGCAAGGTCTGGACACACAACCCTGAAAAATAGTAGACCACTAAGGAACAAATGAATGTATATTAGAAGCCATCTGTCATATTCTGCCTCCTTTTGAGGATCTGTGGAAAGCAATGAATGATAGATAGTGCGTTTGTATTGGTTTTGTCTTTAACTAGTAAGCTCAGTCTGTAATTTGGTAACAAAAGTATCATCTAAGCAACAAAGATTATCCACGGAATTCTCTTGAACTAACCCTTACAAATGCTATACCAGAAAGTCGATATAAAATGTTTTGTTCTGGTGACTTTATTGACTTATCAGCCGATAAAGTAAAAGTTAGTCTTAGAAAAGAAATGTTGTTCACGTTAGTCTATTTGCTACTTACCTTTGATCTGAAAACAAGCTTACTAGGCAGTTATTTTCATACCATAAGGTCAGTGACTTCAGCAACAACTAGCTAAATTTAGCAATTTGGTTTTCCCAAGATTGGTGACTATTTTATTTAGCATTTCCCAACATTTGCTACCTGTTTGATACAGACATCACAGGGAAACAATGTGAGAATACATGTTGCAGATGTCTATTTTATTGGATTAAAGACTAAAATAATGATATAATTTGAAAGCAACCAGAGTGATGTTTAACATCTTAACTATAACTCCCATAATTATACTATGTAGGAAGATTTACATTTTTGACTGTACAATTAGNTTTCTTTCTTTTTTGTTTACAGTAAACAGCCTGGACATCAAAGACATGAACTTTGAGGAATTTTGCAAATTGCCTTGAGTGGAGCATCAGATCTGTAATCTAGCTTGGCAGTAAGGGTAATGGACATGCATTGATGCAGCAATTCACATGTTGTTCAGAATTCAGTGGTAGCTTAATTACTTACTGTCCTGTATGCCTGGCAGCACTGAGGGCAGCAACAAAGGTGGCATGTTTTCAGAACCCATCTTGCTGACCTGGCAATTGATTTTGTTTGGTGATAGTCCCCCCAAAAGTCTCAGACCCATTGTCCATCAAATTGAATGCCAAGCTGTTCATTTTAGCATCAGTTAAGAGTTTCCTTCAAACTAGACGTGCTCGTGTTCATGCACTATGCAAGGTCTGGACACACAACCCTGAAAAATAGTAGACCACTAAGGAACAAATGAATGTATATTAGAAGCCATCTGTCATATTCTGCCTCCTTTTGAGGATCTGTGGAAAGCAATGAATGATAGATAGTGCGTTTGTATTGGTTTTGTCTTTAACTAGTAAGCTCAGTCTGTAATTTGGTAACAAAAGTATCATCTAAGCAACAAAGATTATCCACAGAATTCTCTTGAACTAACCCTTACAAATGCTATACCGGAAAGTCGATATAAAGTGTTTTGTTCTGGTGACTTTATTGACTTATCAGCCGATAAAGTAAAAGTTAGTCTTAGAAAAGAAATGTTGTTCACGTTAGTCTATTTGCTACTTACCTTTGATCTGAAAACAAGCTTACTAGGCAGTTATTTTCATACCATAAGGTCAGTGACTTCAGCAACAACTAGCTAAATTTAGCAATTTGGTTTTCCCAAGATTGGTGACTATTTTATTTAGCATTTCCCAACATTTGCTACCTGTTTGATACAGACATCACAGGGAAACAATGTGAGAATACATGTTGCAGATGTCTATTTTATTGGATTAAAGACTAAAATAATGATATAATTTGAAAGCAACCAGAGTGATGTTTAACATCTTAACTATAACTCCCATAATTATACTATGTAGGAAGATTTACATTTTTGACTGTACAATTAGCATAATTATAATAATAATCATAACATAATTATATAGTGCAACGATGATAACCAGTTTCTGTAAAGTGAGTTTAAGTTTGTATGAGATTGAGTCACTTGGGTCACAGAAAAATGTCTGCAGTCTGTGTTAACTGGTGTCTGTTATAACCAGGCTAATGAGAAAATGATTATGTGCATGGGCTTTTCATTGGGACAAGCAAAGCTGTCCATAATAAGCAGGTGTCTGTATTAAGCAGGTGGCAGTAAAAAAATTCCAGTATACTTAATTTTGCAATTGTTGCATGTTCACCGTGCTAACAGTAGGATCCTTAAGATTGCTTACATACAGCACAGCACTGAGGTCCTTTAAGTTAAAGGAGACCTTCACTCCCTAACATTTATTACCATGACAGAAATGTGACAATGTGACATTGAAAGCAATGTGTACATTTGTCATCGACAAACGAAGAAGAAGGGGGGTTGTCTTGGACAAGTTTCACCTTGTCCCCTCTAGCGATCTTTCTTTATAGAGCTTGAAATATTCGAACTGCTAGTACGTAGCGAGGCTAGGAATGGCGTTTATGGCCAACAGCAATAAAGAAGCTTTTCCTGTTTCTTATTATGCTGTACTGGAGATTTTTTGTATTTTTTGTGTTGAATTTATTCAAGGCATTTAAGGATTAGTGGAAAACCAAACTAAATCAGAGGCAATTTTTGCTGTTTGTTGTAAGCGTAATTCTTACAATCTCTTTTAAAACTGTTTTAGAGGATTATTAATAATAATATTATTTGTGGGTTTCAGTTGTCAGTACAAACTAGGATTTTCGATGGCATTATTCTTTGGTGATGTTTCTGGGTTTTGTTTATCATTATAACAGTTTTATTAATTTACAGCAACAACATATCAACTACAGTCAAGCCTGTATTAATCAGACCCCATATTAAGTAGACGCCCTCTATTAAGCGGACAGCAACGCAAGTCCTATTTTTTCCCCTCACATTTACTGTAAAAAAATACCTGTATTCAACGGACACCCTGATTGAAGCGTATGTCTATTACCTAATAAATCCTTCATTTGTCGAACAATCACATATGCTTGTGAATGTTTATGGAAAAACGGTATCCAGAGTTACCTTGGGTTTGCGGAAATGATGTTTGACTGTTTCAAGGCTGTTTAATACTTTTAAATGACCCTTTAAAGACAAATTCCAAGAGAGCCTGTTTTTAGCCGATGCCCTGTATAAAGCAGACATCGGCAAGGATCCCAAGGGTGTCCTCTCGATGCAGGTTTGACTGTAATGTCAATGACTCGGCTTGAGCTTGGAAAGTTTATCCATTACTTAGATGTATGTAATCAAGGTGATAACAGCAAAAGTTCCTATCTGTATGTAATGATATGGAGTTATTTCACAGTGCTTTCTAATTTATTTCTTTTTGTTTCTTGTACATTTTGTAAATTATTTCTGACATGAATTTTGAATCACAGGTTCAATATCAAAACAAAAGATGATCAGGTACTGCCTAGTTATGATCTGTATTTAATTGATACGACTCAATAGTAGCTTTACAGCATCTTTGTTATGTAACTGTATGTGACTGCATAGCATTACAAGTGATTGAAAATATAGTATCTGTTTTATTAGCAAAGTATTGACTGGGTACTTTCTTTGCTTTTGATTCCTTATCATGAGGAAGAGGTGCAGTGGGAGGGGATTTGTCAGGCCATAGAGAGGGTAGCAAAGGGGGAGTTGTGATTTCATTTCACACACAATTTTAAACAAAATTCAAGCATAACATATACTTTTAACCACTTATTACAATGTGGATGCACGATGGCCTGATGGTTGGTGCACTCGACACCGGATCGAGCGGTCCAGGTTCAAACCCTGGCGGGGTACATTGCACCCATACCAGGGGTAGAAATGGGTACCAGCCAGTTTAACTTAATGCTAGTCACTTCATGCTACAGAAACTGGGATAAGCTCTGGCCTGAAGGGCCACGTGACTCATGGTATGCAGACTTGTAGCAATGGTCTCTAATTAAGAAATATTAATTCACAAATGATGTTTTACTTTGTTTTTTAGTTGCTATTTAAGTTTTTGCTCTCATATTTGTGTCAGGCTTAAACCCTCCCCCCCCCCCTCCAGAGGAGTACCCTGCATAGATTTAATCAGAAGTGTCTATATATAACAGTTGAATATAAATTATGTTAAAAATACCTCTGAAGACCTCTACAGCGGCAGCTCTGAGGCAGAATTTACTAACCACTTCAGAGAGTCTTCAATATGATTCTAAGTGATAAGTGAAGGTGAATTTTTTACTCGAGCAAAATGCCACACAAGACGCCCCACACTACTGGATTGAGGAGGTGAACAATGCCTCTCCTGCCATGTCTGCTCTCCCTGCTTCGTTTTAGGAGAGGGACCTGGACCTGACAGTGAGGCAAAAAATGGCGGACGAGAAGGCTAATGGCGAACTGACAGAGGACGAATTGAAGGCTGATGAATACAAACTAGAGGCAAACAAGCACTTTAAAGGTAGGTTTTCAATAACTAAGACACTTCTTTAGTTTGCGATATGGAGAATTCCTAAAATGTACTCTCGTCGATCCGAGAAATATGCATACTTGAAAAGGCATGATTTCACTTTTCCATTCTGCATTCTCGCCGGCCGGTCGGCGTTTAAAAATAGTTATGTTGGCTTCTTGTTTTCTATCTTGATCAGTACTCTTACATGTATGTACCATCGTTAAAAGAAGAACTTCAGGTATAAAATTAATACGAGGATTAGATAAGGTTGTTCGTCTCAATTAATCGTATTCTACTTGATCTTCGCGTGTTTGCCTGTCTGTCTGCTTCAATTTGCGCCATAAGAAGAGCGTAATATATAACTTCTTAGGTATCTAGAGTTTCCGCTTGAATTAAAAAGGTTATTTTGTAAGGAAACGTTATATAGATCGTCACCTCGAGTCTGATAATTTACAAATCAAAAACTTAACATTAACTTGAAAATATTTGAGCTAAAATTTCAAGATGCTCCAAATACTTGGTCAGTGTAGCTGTGCCCCCTCTTCCCTCTGAACTCCCAGCCAGATTTTCATCAAATAACCCAATCAGTTATTATACAGGTGTACATTTAGGTAAGAAATATCTACCAAGTAGCTTTTACTTTTTAATATAATTATAATATAATTATTTGAAATGCACTTTAGTGAGACCTATCAACCAGCATATTAAGGTAAGGTAAAGTCTGCATACAAGCTAAGTGGCCCATCAGACCAGAGCTTATTCCAGCTTCTGTAACACGAAGCAACTAGAAGTATTTCCACTCCTCCCTGGATGGGATGCTAGCCCATCACAGGGTTACATTTGTACCTCCATCATCAAGTTCGCCGGTACCCATTTATACACCTGGGTGGAGAGAGGCACTGTGAGGGTAAATTGCCTTGCCCAAGAACACAACGCAATGTCCCCAGCCAGGGCTCGAACCCCGACTGCTCAATCCAGAGACGTGTGTCACTATTAGGATACAAACTGAGAATGATGGAAATTTATTTTGATGTCTGGGAGAATCTGTTATTAAAGTTGCACTAATCTGCCATGAAACTGCAATAACTTCCCAGTGGATGCTGGTCAAAACTTGGAGTCCTTGGTGCAACTAGTAGGCTTGGCAAATGTCGTCATCATTATCACTTCATCTCATCATGCTAATTGGTGTATAAGGCCATCTTGGCAAGTATAACAGTTTTTATTTAACTCAACAAAAGTTATTTTCAAAGTCATCTAAACTGAAAATTTGTTTCATAATTTATGTTTGATACATAGAGGGACATTACGATGAAGCCGTTAGTCTCTATACGAAGGCCATGGAGTTGAATCCCAAAGTACCAGCATACTATGGTAACAGGAGCTTTTGCTACATTAAGACTGAATACTATGGCTATGCCCTCGAAGATGCGAACAAGGCCATTGAACTGGACAAGAAATATATTAAGGTAAGATCATGTTACTCTAGACCTCATTTAATATTTATGGTGTTTCTATCGATTTAAAGAAGCACAAGTGGAAGTTTGGGAGAACAAGAATTGCTTTGGGAACATGAGCCGACAGGTGAGTGTTACTATAGATTTTTGAGTTCTCCAAAATTTCCACAAGTGTTTTGATAGAACACAGAGAACATGTTTTCTATTTCTTTAAGAAAATCCTGTGACGGAAAACAGAAAACAGCTTGTTTACTTTGATCATCAAAATGTAAATTTTCCTTGCTCATGCCATCATTATGTCAACAGCTTGTGCTAGTTTTGTGTTTCTATTGAGTTACAGAAACATGATTTTGAACTAATCAGTGTGCATATTTTCTCTGGGCTATTTCCTAATTAGCATTATTGCCTGATTGTGGCTGATGTCTACTCCATTCAGTGACTGATCAAAAAATCATTTGATCAAGCCACATTATGTCTGATTCAAACCATTCAAAATCCTGAGATTGCTAAAATGTGTTGTTCCAGCCCAGAAGAAATCCTATTCATACCCTCTCCTTCTCATGGAAAGTTTTTTATCTGAAACTCCCTCACCTCTGAAAATTTCAATTTAGCTTTTCACTTTCCTTGAAAAATATGGACTTTTAAACCCTCCACTAGCATTCCCTCAGAATTTTCATTGACCCTCCATAGGGTAGTCATAGATATTTTTTAGAACTGCATGTGCACAGTACTAAATAAATTTGCATCTTCCGTAAGCAGCATTCTGGGGACTAGACAAAGTGTCCACTTAAGAGAGGTGTCCGCTTATGAGAGGTTAAAAATACAGTGTTTGTTTGTAGTGGCAACCATCACCAAGTGTCTGCTTACAGGAAGTCTTGGCCTAGGGGAGGTTCAACTTTAATACTAAAATCTAATTATTCCATCATTACTTGTTTGTTTTTTTTGTTGTTGTTGTTGTGTCAGGCGTACTACAGGAGAGCCTCAGCAAACATGGCTCTTGGAAAATTTAAACTTAGCCTCAAGGATTATGAAGTGGTAGGTGCAGTAGATATCAAGTTGATAATCCATGAGAGGCATGCTGCAAGGTGAACTAGTCTAGACTAATACATGTATATGGTAAAAAAAGGCACCATGCACCTCTTAGAAGTCTTATAGTGCGATTTCTTGAACCTGGCCACCTAGAAGAAAACTAAGCAATCGAAAGGTAAACTGAGGACAATGGACTGGTAACTTCTTGTGACAGCAAGAAGTGGTCTGTTTGACATGAAAACATAAACACTATCAACCCCTCTGTGTTATATACATTCTTGGAGATTCAGTCCCTGATGGCTAATTATACACCCTGTAGATTATAAATCTTGCTCCTAAAATTTAGCCTGAAAATTCATTTTGCGACAATTAAACCGGAACTGTTGTTCAAAAAGTGTGCAAAATTTCGGGTTGAAAATAGCCAATCAACAAATGGCAAAGTTATGTGACAGGTCCGCAACACTTTACACTTTGTAGGTTTTTCAATTTTACTTAAGAACTATTGTTTGTATTCTTCAATGTTATTGGTTTATTTGAGAAAGATTGTTATCCCTTGTTCTCAAGTACTTAACAATTTGATAGTTAACTCTTTTTCAAGTGGCCTGGCTTGAGTAGTTGCACAGTGACAGGATTGGCCAAGAAAGCAATGCGTCTACAAACTACAGAAATAATTAACCTAGCCCTTAAAGCAATAGAGCTTCATGAAACAGGCAGCAAATGAATTTACAGGTTTTGAAGAGATGCATGGCTTTTTAAAAGATATCTCAAGTGCTTCAACCAACTATTAAAAACTATTAATAATAGTTTTACCATGGATAACATCAAAATTAATGATCTCTGTTCTCTTCTAGGTAAAGAAATTTCGACCAAAAGACAAAGATGCCATCCTTAAGTACACAGAGTGTGAGAAGATTGTACGAAGGCAAGCATTTGAGAAAGCCATTGCAGTAGATGATAAGAAATCTTTGGCTGACACTATAGATGTGGACTCCATGGGTTAGTGAAATCTTTGCATCANATTTAATTAGCTGTGGGTGAATTAACCAAAGACAAAAGTCTGAGTATTTGCTCAAACTGCGTTATGTTTAGGAAATCAGGAAATCAATAATAAAGTATAATTTGTATGAAAGGCCTAGTAAGTTTTATTTCTCTTGAGATTTTAATCAGATCCCACAACAACAAGCATTAACTTAGAGATATGATTGACAACTATAACTTTTTTTAGAAATAAATTGACTGTGTTTATTTTGTTTTACAGAATGGAACATTCACAGTGTGTGGTGACATACATGGACAGTTTTATGATCTATTAAATATTTTCCGTCTTAATGGACATCCATCCCCTGAAAATCCATATGTATCCTTTAATAATATTTTGAAAACTGTTTTTGTAATCCGATCTGTTGCAACAAATCATCTACTTTTCTATCCAAATCGACAGGAAAATAGGATGGAAAACTCTTCTCAAATGGATGATTCTCTTAACTTCATACTGGGGGTGAAAATCAGGATGAGTTTCAGTCAAGATTTTAAGACATTTAGCTGTCCTTGAATTCATATTAGACCGTATTCTGTCAAACAGAATTCCATCTGTGACTAGTTTCCCATCTTTAAATATAAATTTGGCTATTATCATCATTATTTCATTAATAGCATTCCTGCCATGTGTGTCCTGAAGTTTGCTGGTGGTGCATGTGATCGGTGCGCCGAAAGACAGCATTCTTATGTCAAGGACAACCTCTGAAATTTGGGAAGGCCTTTTATGAAATCTTTGTTTCATGTTAGAGGATGGGTTTAAAATAATATTATAGAACTGGCATTATCAAGAACACAATTCCAAAAACATAATTTCTGATTAGTTTTAATACAACATTAAATGTTGCAAATTTTGCCTGCAATACTTTCTTTTCATTTGTGACAGTTATCTCTCCTCAATGGAGCTTTAGCTATTTAATGGAGACTTTGTAGATAGAGGATCATTTTCTTGTGAAGTAATTTTTACACTTTTCAGTTTTAAACTCTTGTATCCAGATCATTTTTTTATGTCACGAGGTAAGAATACATAGCTCTCTGCACGTTTTGCGAGCCTGTAATAAAAGATTATCAACCTCCCTCAAGCTCTCCCCAGTTTAGCCCTAATATTTTTGGGACTCACTGAGGTCTAAGTACCCAATGGTGTCACCTTGAGGGTTCACATATAAGATCCCTTTTGATATCAGCTGCTATCGCTTCTTCACCAGGATCTAAATTAACCTATTGACAGCTGGAGCTTTTTGGCAAAAACACGTTTGTTAGACATTTTTTTACATTTTCAGCATTGATGTGAGCTAAATTAACTCCCAAGGTTCTCAAAAAGGCATTTGCAACATCAACGTATGCCTTTCTTTGCACTAGCATCGCGTTTTAGGAGGTTTTAGCTCGGAGATTTGAGATTTCTTGTTAAAATTATTTTTGTTCAAGTTGTTGTTTCCCTGGCAAGTTAGTGAGTTTTGACCCACGACACGTGACACTTTTTCCTCCAATCGGAAAACGTGTTTGAGTTGGGAGGTATAACAAAACAATTTGTTTTATTTCACAGGTAATCATGAAAGCATCTACATGAATCAAATGTATGGATTTGAAGGAGAAGTGAAAACAAAATATCCTTTTGTACAGGTCACCTGCTTTAACTGGCATGCAAATTCTCCCAAACATATAAGGACTCTAGGAATTTATTTTCCAATGTAAACGAAACTGCTTTCTGTAGGGTAGCGATTTTCCATTACTTCACACTTTTTTTCTCTTTTTTTGTCAGTCTCTTGTGCATCTAATAATATTTTAGGTTTGATTTCCACCACGCTCGCGAGTCTGGTGTACGTTGCTCCCTGAGAAGAGCCTTTAGGGGAGGAGCGCAGGCTCCTTTCCTGAAGAGTGGCTGGTAATCGAGCCTTAATATATTTCTCCTTTATGCCAGAATGTTTCAGCCCCTTGTAGAGATTCAGTTGTCCATGAAACTGTGCATTAATCTTAACGCTGCATCACATATACTACAGACATGGCTGACCTTTTCACTGAGGTCTATAACTGGCTACCACTTTGTCATCTAATAAACAAAAAAGTGCTGGTAAGACTTTTGATAACAACTGCAATCGTGAAAATACTGCTCAATAGCTTTCATTTGAATGGTCACACACTAGGGTTTAATCCACAGACTTAAAAGTTAGAACCACCTTGTACAGCATAATAAAGAGTACCACACTGATAAAAGTACTGCTCAATAGCTTTCATTTGAATGGTCACTCACTAAGGTTTTATCCACAGACTTAAATGTTAGAACCACCTTGTACAGCATAATAAACAGTACCACATGAAAGTACCGCTCAATAGCTTTCATTTGAATTGTCACACGCTGGGGTTTCATCCACAGACTTGAACAACATAACAAGTACTAGCGCAAATTCCTGAGTTGCAACAAAAACATGCTTTAGATACTTTTATTACATCGCTGCCAGAGTATGAAAGATGTTATTCAGATTATTATTCTCGTCCAGTCAGTCTGCTAAGCATTATCCTCCACAAATTTCAGGTCATGCACGGTGGTTTGTTTCAAAGAGATGACGTGAAATTGGATGAACTTAGAACAATAGACAGAAACAGACAACCTGGAGAGGAAGGTCAGTAACCACAGCAAGTGTTTACCGGTATCTTTGAAGTTTTTTTACTTTGTATCACTGCGGATGGAATTTATGAAGAATTTTAATCATAACGGTCATTACTGCAAACGTTTACGAGCCTTGTAAGGGTTTGAGTCTTTTTTGGGGGACAACATTGAAGCACGCCAACAAAGACTGTGGTGGAAGTACTAAGGGGTGGACCATTTGACTTTTGAGGGGTTGTGTGAGTGATTTGGTATAGGCAGGACTTTCTTTTATCTCTTTCATGCACTAGAAATTTTTTATCGGAACGTGTGTATGCATAATAATCTTTTCCATGTAACGTGCTTTTCTTGGCTCACTGAACGTGCGTGAAATTATTTTTCGGCAATGTTCGTTTGCATGAATGTTGTGGTGCAAGTATGCTTGCAGGACATTTTATTCAAAATCACCCCTCCTTCCACCTCAAAAGTGTTATTGTCCACCCCTAAATACCGGTATGGTTTCTGTCACGGCATTCATATGACAGATAGTTTTGATTGACAGGGAAAACTGTGTGAAAACCAAGTTATTGCACGTTAACACGTTTGATTCAAAAAGCCGTGGCTTATACCGAGTTTAAACCAACACCCAATCACGTCAAACTGTGATTTATTTTCACCCTAATGACACAGGTTAGCTACGGATGGTTATACAGAGTCCTTGGGTAGAACTAAATTTAATTCCCGCCGTTCTTCTTTCAGGATTGATGTGTGAATTGTTATGGTCGGATCCACAACCTCAAGTATGACTGATTCTCTTTTTCTTCTTCTTCAGCTTAGCGAAATCGTGTCGTGAATTATTATACCTTTTTTTTTCGTTTCACTATCATACTTGTAAGTTTGCTCGCCTGTAAGCTGATGGACCTATCATTTTTATCAGAAAAGTTTTTTTCCTTTATATTTACTTGATGATTGAGTGATAAATAACCGTATCATTCCTTACAGCCTGGTCGTTCGGCAAGTAAGCGTGGAGTGGGCGTGCAGTTTGGCCCAGATGTCACAAAGGAATTTTGTGAAAATAACGATCTAGGTGAGTTTTGTTGGACATCAGGTAGCTGGGCGCTGATTGGTTTAAAATCATGTTTCTGGAGCGCTTTTCACTGAGTGTCGTAAAACCAAAACCAAAATAATCACTCTAGCGAATCACAAAGGAGACAGACAATACAATGAACCAATCAAAACTCGAAGTAATTACATGTAGCTGACGCAAAGCGCGGGAAAACGCGTGCGACCGAGTTACGATTGGTTTTGGTTTTACCTCTGATTGGATGAAAAAGTGGCGCGAATTTTTCAAGCCAGTCGTGTAGCGTAGTGATACAAAACCAATTACTTTTCGATACTCAAGTGGAAACTGCTCAATCGAGGGCGCAGCCCGAGTCAACTATCACGCGATGCGCCCGAATCAACTATCACGCATAGAAATCGAGAGCGAATAATCTAATTGTTTAACAGAAACACGAATGGAAGTCTTTTTTTTTTTAAGCTGTTGTTCCCACAGCATTTCTCTTTCTCCCAAACTTTCACTCGTGAGCTAGGGTCTACCGAGAAACGACTCCAGCTTAGTGATCAGAACGGGACGTGAACCCGCGACTACCGGATTTCAAGTCCAGCGCCCTAAGCACTCAGCCACGTTGCCCCGAATTATGGCTTGACAGTCTTTCTTGTTATTCAGTTATTTATCTGTTCATATTCTTATTTTTTATATTGCAGAATACATTATCAGGAGTCATGAAGTCAAACCAGAGGGTTATGAAGTAGCACATGATGGGAGGTGCATTACGGTCTTCTCTGCTCCGAATTACTGGTTAGTTATTTGTATTGCCTGCCACAGCGCCCCCGGGCCCCCACCCCACCCATGGTTTAGAAATAGACCATTTCACAGTCGTCTGCTCAGTGACCTGGCCTTTGGATGGCAGCGAGGCTGGAGGTGACTTTGTTTTGATACAGACCTCACTGCTTTTGTTGTGTAAAACAGGTTCTTATGCTAACTAGGTGCATTTACATGACAGAAGCAAAGAGGTCTGTATCAAAACAAGGTCACCTCCAGCCTCACTACCATTCAAAGGCCAGGTCACTGAACAGACAAGCATAAAATGGTCTGTTTCCTAGAAAAGTTACCAGAAAATCCGGAAAATGTTGAATTTCCGACAAGAGAACTATTCAAACGATAATAAATTCCGGGTGGAAAGTCAAATGGAATGGAAATTCCTGGTGAGAAATTTCCTAAGATTTTCGGTATACCTCGCGAGGTTGTCTTTCCGGAAATTCCGAAAAATGCTGTTCCATTCACCACTGGAAATTTCCGGAAATTCAAACCGTAGTTACACGGGGATCCGTGAAGTGTCTTTGATTGGTTGAGCAACAACCAATCAGAGGGGCTACACGGAGCCCCGTAGAACTACGTCATAACTTTGCAATATCAAGGTGGAATTTTGAGTTGAATCTCAGGAATACATTTCTAGTATTTGTCGCTGTCAGAAGAAGCCAAATGTTTCAAATACACCGTCCGTAATCCATCTCAATCCCTCCCAATCTTAACCATCCTTGTACCTGTTTGGTTTGTTATTCTCCTTTGCGTGCTTTAGTACTTCCTAAGTGAACTTTCAATTTTCGTCTTATCTTGTAGTGACCAGATGGGAAACAAAGGAGCGTTCATCACCATGGGAATGGACATGAAACCCAATTACACAACCTATGACGCTGTGGTGAGTTTTTCCTAACGTCAAAAAAATGTTGTAATTACACCAGGGCTTTAGGTGTAGAGGCGCGGTGTCTTCATGGTTAGTGAACTCGTCTCCAGATCGAGCAGTCCGGGTTCGAGTCCTGGTCAGGAACATTGTGTTGTGTTCTTGGACAAGACACTCAACTCTCACAGTGCCCCTCTCCACACAGGTGTATAATTGGGTACCGGAAAGTTTAATGCTGGGGGTGACCCTGCGATGGACTAGCATCCCATCCAGGGGGGAGTATAAATACTCCTAGTCGCTTCAGGCTACTGAAACCATAGATAAGCGCCGGTCTGATGGGACACTTGTCCCGTATGCACACTTACTTTATGCGCAAGACAAAGAATCTATTGTGTATTTTCATCCTGTTCAAACCCACCCCCAAGAAAGTGAGAATCTCTTTTTACCATTAAAACAAACGCACATACTTAAAAAAATATTTTCCATTGTTGTGTTCTCAGCCTCACCCCGACGTAAAACCTATGACGTACGCAAATTCATTGATGCCCATGTTTGACTTCATGTAACACGCACGATGGTTCCACCAGGCAGCGCGATGGCCGATACCCTTCCGAAAGCCATTATTCCAGATGCTTGCCATGACAATGACGTACACTGCATAATTCTCTTTGGATACGAGACTCAAGCTCGCCCGTTTAGTTCCCTGTCGTAAACGGGAGTTCATAGAGTTTATAATTTATTGAAATCAAATTTATAGGCCACTTACATCAATGGACACCCTGTGACTGTTATGTTAAGCCTCGAGTTAGTTTGTGAACCAGACTTTCAAATTTGTGATAACATGAACATAACAAATTATACACATGCCGAGCAAGTCTTTTGTACTAAAAAGATGTAAAGATATTTCCTATCCCATATTTAGAGTGATACTTTCTATCGTCACATTTCCAAACTTAAAATATAAATTCTTCTTCTTTTAGAATCTCATTGCAAGACGGTGACGTTAATGCCTTTCCTAGGAAAAAGCGAAAATACTCCTTCAATTAAGTGAGCCCGAGTTCACATGAACTGATTTTCCATCACTTCACAGCCAAACCAATGCACCAGCCAGGAATTTTTTTTAGATACATTAAACAAAGCGCACTTAGCGCCAGCAATAGCCTAGCCTGCCTAGCCTGCCTAGCTGAGAGCTTTTCCCGCATTGTGGCTGCGCGCAAATTGGAGCGAGAGCAAAAAAAAAAATCAACGATTAATTTGCTGTTTCAATTCGTGCGCGGCCAAAATGCGGAAAAAGCTTTGTGTACGGAAACGCTTGCTGCGTAAGCTAGCAATAGACATTATCAGAAATTCATTATCAGCACTGTACACTTCGGAGGTTATTTACACCATGTACCGCATCGTTCAGCTATAGCTCGGTATTAGCTGTCAGCTGTGAAAGTTGTAGTTTGGTTTTCGATCGGTTTGGTCACGTATTCTCTGAATAGTCTGTAGACTATTTATTCAACAGCGCAGTCAGTTAAATTATCGGGTGGTGGGATTTTTGGAAGACTTATGCATGAAAATAAAGTAACTTCTTTACGCCTTGTATGTTAAATGCGTGTATGATAATAATGGAAAGAAATCACACGTTCTCTCAATTTATTGTTGTGGCTTTATCATTCAGCGAACCAAGTACTTGGAAATTGTTGGAGCAATGTCATATAATTTTCATGGGGGGTGGGGGATGGTAACCTCAGCTGGATCAGAGTCCCATTCGCCCTGATGAAGTTATCAAGGTAGCTAGTCCACAGTCCTCTCTCTTGACTCTCTACAGTCGAACGTCTCTAAAACGGACACCGAAGGGACAGAGCGAAGTGTCCGTATTAGAGAGGTGTCCGTATT